GGAGAAAAGAAAGGAAATTTGTTTTTTGCTTTTATTTCTTCCACGAGAGAGACAGATTGTCCTCACGCCACACTCCACGTCCCGGCATCACAGCCAGTTATCACGGGGGTTCGCGTGCATGTCCCCCACGCTCAAGGAGATCCCGAGACGGACCTTTCCCATGTGGGGCCAGTTGTGTTACCACCATGCCATTGCTCAGCCCCAAGTAGAGAAAACGTGGTATAGCGAAGGTCAGAGTAATGTCGGGCGGGACAAGAGGTTGAATTCCTCGCGCTAGCCCACTGGGATTCCGACATTTGGTGTGTGCGCTGGGCTGAGATGCCAACCAGATAAAGAGCCAGGTTCTTATCTTTAAGGCAGCATTTATCAGCCTGTGTCTACTTAGAACTGATGTTTGTGTTTGGAGGCCTGTTATTTGGCTTAACTGTTTGCAGAGATCCGAGACCCTGCCTTCACCCAACAGCTGGCAGCTGTGACACCTGAGGAAGAGAGGCTCGACTCTGGGCTTCACACTGCGACTCAGAGCGCGGGCGAAACGCACCCTGCACACGTTATGGCCTTCACGGTGTGTACTTGAGACCTACAAGGGGACTTGAAGTTTGTGGAAAAGGTGGAATTAAAGTAGGAGTTGGGGGCTGGCTCTATGGTGCAGAGGCCATTCGCTGCTCAAGAGAAACCGGATCTCATATGGTGACCGTGGTTCGAATCCCTCACCCAGTCAGCCCGAAAAACGCCAGGTGTTTGCACGAGTGTCCAAGAGGTGATGGGCTGGAGGACCGGAGGAGGGAGGAGATCCTAGCATGACCAGACCCTGTGGAGGGCGTGCCTCTCTCTGCCCGCCCCTCCAACCCATGCACAGGTACACACTCTACCCTGAATAGAAAGAACACAATTCTAAAGCCTAAGTTGATACTGGAGCATACATTTTAAAAATTCATGCATAGTTTTTTCATAATACACTTTTTCCGTGACCTCTTTGAAGACTGTTCAGACTGTGTTAACTAGCAGTGTGCTGGGCGCCGTGGGGAGTACGGGGGGTGTTTTACTAAAGGTCAGTGATTCTGTAACAAGCTTGTCTTGCAGACTCCCCCACCAGCCCACCCCAGGTGAGCTTTCCTCATAGCACTGAGAAGATAGAAGAGGTCAGCCAGGAATGGCCTCGTCCTCTCCGCTGAGCCGGCCGACCTTGAACATACACTCACACCTTCCCCCTTCTCTCCTATTACAAAGGACAGTCTTCCTTCCCTTTGGGCTTTTCACGGGAACTTTGTTTTCTCTTTGTTTTCCTTGTTTTATGTATGCTAGAGAGCGCTTGCATGTGTGAGTGAGAGACAGAGAGAGAGGA